AGTTGCCATAATTGGAAATGTTATTTTATCGACAATACGTCGGCTAGTCTGACCGCAAGGGTCTTGACCCTTGAATAGGGTACCGTGCAGCTGCTTCCATGGTGCATCTCCATTTTTCTGTCCGTTTTAAAAATGCACGGTTAATAGTGCGGGAGTCAGCAAAGAGGAGACTATTGCAATTATGGTTAGGTATAAATAGGCCATGCATGAAAACAAATCCGACATAGAAGGGGGTCGTGTTTTTGGAAACATAAAACAGGATTAGTAGAAACAAAGGCGGGGAAATAAGAACAAAACAAAACTACGAAAACGACAAGAATTTGGTTCCTCGTTCAAGTGAAGTGGTCTCCAGAAAAATCCAAATTCAAGTCAATCGGCAAAGGCACCGTTTTCTTTTTTTTTCAAAGAAAAGGACGCATTCCATAAATATCTCCAGTATTGTGCCAGACACGCCCGTACAGTTACAGCGACAGACACTAAGACTATGCATAAACAATAAATGCCAATAGTGAGGCAAACAGGATAAGGGTTGGAATGGTATGCGCCGGGGGGGTTCGCTCTCTCTCTCTTAACACACTCTCAAGACATTCGTTATCTATGTCGTTAGTTTCTAACCTATCGCAAAAACTCTCAAGTTATTCTTCACTTCGTGAAAATCGACACTTAATGTCATGCCACCATCATCGACATCACCACTGTGATCGCATCTACGTCGCTTTCGATGTCATCGTCGTCATAACCGTCGTAATCGTCACTGTCATTCTTCCTCTCATAACCATCTCCATCACTGCCATCGCTGTCCAATTATCACCCTTCCAATCTTTTGGCGAGGCTGCCCGAAGTGAGATAAGCTACAGGGTCTTCCAAGAACCAGGATCCAAATTCCTGCCGGTCTTGCCGCGGACTCGACTACTTACTTTCCGGATCTTGCTCCTACGAATACTTACGGCGGCCCTCCTTGCCTCCATCCGCTCCTGGATAGTGTCCTGGCTGCAGGTCAGACCGATGTCCTCGCTGTGATGACAGTTGCTGACGCCAAGCTTGGCACGCTGGCATTTGAACAGGCTAGGCTCATCGCCAGCACACCGAACATCGTCCAGTACGATCGTACCTTGGTTTGAACCACAAAGCTTGTTTACTCACCCAGATGATAATTCATCCACACGTATGACTTAACCACATTTGACATGTGGTAATGACCCCTCCAAATCGTAAGCGTTAAATGCCCAGGTCAATCAGTGACCGATAAGGTGACAGTGACGACTACGTCAGTGACTGGAACCTTACCTTCCCCAGCGCCGAACACATTGCTGAAGTGGTAATTGACCGCGTCGGCGTACCCCAGCATGCGACAGGCTACGTGCGAGGCGTTCATATTCCAGCCGTCATCACAGACGGTCCCGTATGCGCGCTGTCGCTTGAAGTACACCTCCAGACGGCCGGACCAAGGGTTCTCCCCGCCCACCAGGCGGGCGGCAGGCTTGGGCTCGCCGGTTACCACGGTGAAGATGGAGGTCACTGCTAGTGAGTAGATCGCCAAGCGAAGTGGATGAACGTAGAGTGCGTCGAGCGTCATTTTGAAACCGGAGCACGAGATCCAGCCACTTAACCTGCGTTAGACAATGTAAATTAAGAGATTATGATGAAACGAAGGGCTTAAGTCATGTTAAAAAGCCTCTTTAGTGTCCTCTTGAAAAAGCCAAAGCCACGCCCAAGGTTGAAAGAACCCTCGCCGAAAGAGGTTTGTGCTCCAAACCACTCACTTCATCAAAGTAAACGTAATATATGAAAACCCAGATGAAATGTTCACTTTTGTTTTGATAAACTTCCATTAGGGCTTGTGTCTAAACAGACAACTAGCCATTCCAAATTTCGTTTTTCATTTTTTGGGGCATGCCATGGCTGTTTTATTTCTGCGTTCCTGATTTTGCCCATTAAAAAAATAACATTGATATAGCCAAAAGGCGAGGGTGCGGATGGTGTTGACATATTTATTTACGGTTTCCACAACGAACACGTGGTAAAACGGTCGATTGGAACGAAATGATCTGGCAGGGGCCACTGGGTGTCAAGGACGAATGGTGCTGTTGAGGGTCCACATGTGGTATGTGTAGAGGGTATAGAGGGGCCACACATGGGTAAAATGGAACGAGAGCTTTGTTGTGAGCTGTGAAAGTTTCGATGTATACATATATACGTCTTTTGATAACGCTATTTGAGCGAAGAGATTAAAAATTGTTCTGGTAAGTCTTTCGAAGTCTCACGGGGAAACAGAGCTACACAAAACGCTGGCCAGCGTATTCCAAAGAGGTGTCAATTGTCAATTTAGTCTAGCTCCCATCTTCACATGGACGATGAACCATGCCTATTTGACACTCGATCTGAGAAACATGCTTCTTACATACAGCTGGAAGAATGAATAGGACAAACGTTTTAGCAAGTATTTCGATGAAACTATCCAGTATGATGTCAACTATCTTTTTTTTCCCAACTTTATGGATAATTTTGCAATGACAGGAAGCAAGTCTGACCGTCTATTTCGGATAATTGTTGCAAGACGTAACTTTGCATTTGTCTTAATTGTTTGTCAGGTACAGGCAAGGCTGAGACGAAAGAAAGCACAAAACGTGAGCCCTCTCATCGCCGGATTGCGTTCCACAGCCACTCCTGACAGAAACATTTCATGGCTTCGCCATCTGTGTTCCATTGACCTTCACTTCCAAAATAACCATCTCCAAAGTATTCCTCACGTAGCCCACGTACAGCGATCCACCACAACCATGCCCTGCGCAGTCGCGACAGCAGGGACGGCCGGAGAAACTCAATGTTCAGGTACCCCGAGTCTAGGTCGTGCCACAGGGGGCTGAGGGCAACCACTTACCGCACCGAAATTCAAATGAACCGTAAATGATGCGCATCAAATCTGTCTTGACGCCTTTACATCCAAAACAAACGTGACTGTATCGTAAAAAAATAGTTCTTAAGTCAATTCAGAAAACGCACTTGTACTTCTATTGGAGTGATACAGAGGTTTCAACATTTTTTAGACATTACACCTAGGCTATGGTATTGGAACATACAAAAATACCACACTTGTCAAAACATCGGCTTTTGTCTTGAAACACAAAAGTAACACTAAAACCACACTGACCACAACAACTGTGCGGTCCGCCGGCTCAAGCTGTGCATAAACCACACGTCCAATGGCATTCTTGCCCTTTACGTCAGTAAATATGAAACCGGGCTTGACTTTCACGCTTTAAGAAACATGCTATTTTCAGTGGCAAATTGTTTTTGTTGGAAAGACGTGAATGGTATTTCATGCGTGGGAGTTTGTATAACTCATGGGAACTCGGATATAATTGGTGTACAAATTGTAGGTGATTTAATTCGCGCCATATTTTTATACATGACATTTATGACATGGCATGTTGGACAAACTATTTTGGTTTGACCCAATCCATAGAACTAATAAGTAATATGCCCCCCCGGTATATACGCCTTTCTCAGTACAAACACACCGCTTAATCATGTGCACAAAAACTACGTTTACATTCGTTTCAAAACCGAAGACATTTACGATCATCAGCTGGCGTTGATCTTCGACGTACTATTTATTATTTTGGATTGTGCAATGTGCATGTAGGTGTTGGTGGGCCTTTGTTACTGAAATTGTGGGTGTGGCCATTGGATATTTTGCACCTTCTGATTTTAAAAAAAAGTTTCATAACATTAATTTTGCTTTTGTAGTGACGTGTTATCGTGCTGAAAATAACAGTACATTTGTCTAGGGCAGAACGTCAGTATTTAGCCTATCTGCTTGAAAAATAAACAAATACACAAAAAGACTCCAAAATCGATTGAAAATAATGCGCTTGGAATGACTTTAATAACATGGACAGTTTAGTACCAACAAAACTTTGTTAATCCCGTCGTCGTTGCAAACATGATTGGAATTATTGGCCCATGCGTAGATTGAAATTTATTTGAACTACAAGAAGCTATATCATTCAGTTACAAATCTGAGTAGTAACAATTTTATTGTCAGCTTTTGCAACAATAACAGGTCATCTCAAATGGGTAAACTACAAAGCCAAGTAAGAGATGTGACCAAACTCATCATTTAAGGACATGCAATGGCAATGGTTTCATCCTACACATCAGCATCTTACCTGATTTCTGTGTAGAGGTCACTCGGTTGGCGTCTTGCAAATGGTGCTGGTCTCAAGTACCGTCTGTCAACTCGTCTCCTTTTCCACGAGGTCGTACAAGTCAATGTCAGTGTACTCAACGTCTACCGCTCAATAGGTGCAACCAAGGAGGAATTCACACCTGATCGTACCGTCAAATAAGCTCTTGGCACCCGTCAACCTGCCTGCCTCGACGCAGTACGGTCTCGATCACCTCTCTTCGACGCAACCTCAGGGTAACCCCTCGAATTAACGGCCTACTGTTTACCTGGTTCCAACAGATTTACAACTCGACCGAGACTGCGATGAGTTGGCACTCAGAAAAAAGTTTCTGAAGTTGGTGAGCCGATAACTCTACCGGGCAATCTTTGCCAACCTGTTACCCCTAAGTCGACGTGAGGAATGTCGCTAACCCGACGCCACTTCGGAACACTACGATTAAACAATGTTATGAAACTTACCTTCGGTCGATCGTGGCAAAACTATTTTTTTCTTTACGTTTATGGGTCGCTTATAGTAGCCCCAACTTTTTTGTTACCCTTACATTAACCTTCCGAAAAATCAAATTAAAACTGATTAAAAACGACATTCCGTGATTTTGGACTTAGCTAGCTGATTTCTTTTTTGTAAGTATACCAAAGTTTCGTCAATTTTTTCTTAGACGATGCCTTGACGAAACATAGCCGACATTTTCTACTCTTGAAACAAAAAGTAATTTTGGAGTGGCCTGGGACTCAACCACTCAAGGACAGGCAAAACAGCTGACGGGGCACGGTTTTAGTGTGGGAAGGAGACAGATGTGTTTGTGTTAAGGTTCGCAAGACGTCGACTGCTTGAACTTGTCACTTTCGGGAGAACATTAAAGAGAGAATTCAGGAAGTCAGATTATAACGCCTTGATTTATTGGCTGTGATGCCGGGTCCAAGCAATGATCAGGAGACATGGACTCGGCACGGATCGAAAATTAACGCACAGTACAGATACAGCATACGAATAGGGCTCAAAATAGGCTTGCCAAATGCGCGTCACTTCACTGCGCAGAGATAAAAACAGGGTAACGTAAGATTGGCGAGAAAAAAAGAGACAGTATATCACGGAGACTAAATTTCATATGACACTGGACTAGTGAGTGGCCGAGGAAGACAAAATTTAAACGAGGCAATTAATGTAGTCTCTGCGTAATTTGAGTCACCGAAGCGACAGTAAACTGGGCCCTCGGCCGATGCCCTTGTTAAGACATTTCCTGCCTCCCGGTTCCCATGTACATTCCCTAGAACTTGAATTTGAAAACTCCATATGTAGTCTAACTCAAATTCACTGCACCCCTAACCCTGCTAGGGCTGAGGTCGGCACGTATTTTCGGTAGTCAGTGTGCACGTACGCCGGAACATTCTGGCGATGAAAGGACCCTTCCGCGTCATTGACCAATTTTCAACTTTCATTGACGCAACCTCGATCTCCTGGGAGGCGACCAATAAAATTCTGGATACTCGGTCTGAGGTTTCTGACAGGCGTATGCGAAACTGGGACAAACAGGTTTCTTGATTTTATCACGAATTTTAAAGGTCCGGCATTTCCAGGAGAAAATTTTAGCAAGTTCACAAGGGGGTATATTTCCATTTTAAATAGGGCTTTTTAATCGGGCCGATGTATAATTTTCAGAGACTGACGCCAGTATTCTCCCTTAATCACATAAAAAAAGTTAAAGAAAAAACTTCCATTTGTACAATGTACTTGATTGAAGAAGATTGAAATGACTTTGGATATCGATTTAGACTGTGTGGGCTGATCCAGAAATCGTATTTATTAACAAAAACAGAGCATAAACAATCACTGAGTGCTTTTATTTTCAGAAATAATAGGCGCGCTTGGATCAATAATAATCTTCGACCAGTTCTTTGCTGATTGACTCTTGAGGGCGCTTTACTTCTCGCTTGAAAATGGCAGCACCCACGAATGTAGTTGTGAAATGGAATGGCAAAGAATACACAATTTCCGATGTTGGGGAATCTGAGACTGTACTTGACTTGAAATGTATGATATCGAAGCAAACAGGTGTTCTGCCTGAACGGCAGAAACTTATTGGTCTGAAGTTAAAAGGTACGCAAATATGGCAAAGTGGCGAATCTTCATGCCTGAAACTCTGTGTTGGCTATACGTGTCCAAATAAGGCTAACTGAAGTCTAACTCTAAGTAAGAGGCATAGGCAGATAGGTTATGCATCAACACGTGTGGAGATCAAATCACCTATACAGCCATACACACTTCAATTGGAATTGCTTGTTAGAAACAGGAACCAGATCGGCCTGCAAGTCATGCAAGCGCAACGAATTTAACTGGGACTTTATTTCCCTTTATTAGAAAAAATCTCATGGGGTATGAATCGACCACCAACACTGACCACAGGGCCTACACTGGCGTCATAATCATATGTCAGTTGTCATGTATGTACGACACTCATCAACCACTGGAAATTAAAACCTCTGTTCCTTGTTTTGTGGATCAACCATATACAGGCTTTATACGTATGATGCTCATCAACCATGAGAATTGATCTTCACACATCTGATTGCATATATCTCTTCCGAATAAGCCAATTTTCCATTCCCTCACCATGTTGATTTTAGCACCCCTGCACGAGTCTGTGAACAAAGCTAGAGGGAACAAATTGTCTGCAACAATAATGATCGTGAGCATCCATTCGCCAAACATTACGCAACGCTTTTGTCATGAATTTGTTCCCGTCTGTTAAGTTTTCTGGGGAAAAAATGAAAACAAACTGGCAAAAAGGTTGTCTGTCTCCCTCCCCCCCCATAGGAAAAGTACCCCCTGATGACACAGTCATATCAGCCCTACAGCTAAAGGCCAGCACCAAGTTGATGATGGTGGGTACCAGGGAAGAAACAATTGCTGCCGCCAATGAGAAACCCAAAGATATGGACGAAATCATCGACGATTTTGATGTGGAAGATGAGGAAATTCAAACGGAGCACAGGTATTTGGAAACTTTTACGTCCTCTCTGCCTTTTAAGTCAGATGTCGATGCAAGCAACAGGACTTGGATTGTTAGCATTGAGTAAAATTCAACAACCTGTAGTCTCTCTCTATATTGTGTTTCCTGCAGAGAGGAATTTTTGGAGAAAATTCAACGAAGGGTGAGAGACTATGAGATCAAAGTTCTGAATGATCCGCGGCCGGGCAAGAAGCTACTAGTGCTGGACGTGGACTACACATTATTTGGTGAGACTTGCAACAAATTTGTTTGTGCATCGTTGTTTGTAGACTCTTTCTTCAGCATTTTCACCCAACTCCTAACTGTCCTCAGACCACAGATCTGTAGCGGAACATGCCCTCGAGTTGAAGAGGCCGTTTCTTCATGAATTCCTAACCTCAGCCTACAAAAACTATGATATAGTCATCTGGTGTAAGTACAGAACTTTTGTTTGTAAATCAAGTAGACACCAAAGTTCCATTCACAATTTATAGTAGGTCCTTTACTAACAAAAAAGACTGCCGATTGTCTAAAATTCCTTGGCATTTTTTTCTGTTCACAAGTCTGCAAAAACCAAGCCTGTGATCTCAATTTGTGTGACACGTTAGTTTGCTCAATTTTCCAGCCGCCACAGGCATGAAGTGGATCGAAGTAAAGATGAAGGAGCTAGGAGTTGCCTCCCATGAAGACTACAAGATCACGTTCATGGTGGACAGTGGTGCCTGCATCTCGGTGCAGACCCCTAAATACGGCATGGTGGATGTACGTTGTCCATTTTCATTCATCGTTCAGTCTTTCCTCGGCATCGATGAAAGAAGCTGAATTTTTTGTGTGCCTTCTGGTTTATCCTTTTCTGTTTAGGATATATTGCAGAAACACTCCACATACGCGCATTCCAAAATTTGTATCCTTGTGGAGACATGGCTTTGTTCCTCACGGCATTATGTATGGTGCCTTGTGGAGACCCAGGAGAATGGGTTGAATAGGTCTCCACAAGGAATTTCTGAAGGTGTACAGGTCTCCACAAGGATTTTACGAAACTGATATTTGGAAATCGCTCAAGAAGGAGAAATGTTAATGTGTATGAATCTGTGGCAAATTGAAGTGTTTCACATTGTAGGGACATTTGGTCAAAACTTCAGCCCAGAAGAGTGATTCATGTTGAAATGGGAACATTTTGAAAATATCATTTCACACGCAACTGTGTTTGTACACTGGAGCATGGTTGGTGTATGCTGATGATATATGGTGGTGTTACTGAGGACATTTCTAATTGTTACTGAGGACATTTGCAGTTGCTTTCCTATCCATGTAAATTCTTTGGTTGCCTCCCCAAATCCTGTCATTTGATTTACATGTGATATCCAAGTTTGGACATTTGGGAAACTGAGGACCTTCATGTCCTCAGACACATTTTGTCTTGTCCTCAGTTCCTAGAGTTTACAGTGTGCACACCACAAGGACTCGCTGACCCTTAACCCAGATTTTTGGCAAAAGAGGCCCCAAAAGGGAGAACCAGCGCACATTTTGTATATTTCAATTGCTGAAAAAGAATGGATTTTGTGTATGTTTGCAGACCAAACCCTTGGGTGTCATCTGGGGCAAGTTTGAGCAGTACACAAGCTCCAACACCATCATGTTTGACGACCTGCGTAGGAATTTCTTGATGAACCCGCAAAATGGCCTCAAAGTATGTTGCTACTCATTTATTCCAGTCACCAGATTGTTGCAGTCAAGTTCGTTAGAAGTCCCTGTGCGTCCATCATCAGGCATTCCAGTCCCAAGTCAAATCTAATACTGTTCATGTGAACTGAGACAAAACATTCTTAATGTCATTGCTCACTGGTTGAATCTCAAACAGGACTTCATGCTTTTGTCCAATGTCCATTGAAAATGTTTATGTGATCATATTTCATATAATAGACATCATTAAGTGTAAAATCTAGCATCTCTATTTCTCACTTACAAGATTTAGTTTTGGAAATGAATGCCGTACGCTCTGTCAAGAGTTAAGTCTCTCAGCGCAAGCATAAGGATCTACCAACATACATTTTTGAACGTTTGAAGCAACTTTTATTGTGATCTGTTGTAGATCCGGCCGTTCCGCCAAGCCCACAAGAACCGCGACAAGGACAAGGAGCTGTTGAGACTGGCCAGGTATCTGGAAGACATCGCCGACTTGGCCGACCTGAGCCACCTCAATCACAAACATTGGGAGTCCTACAGACCACCCAAGCCATCATGATTCGCGCAAACTCAGGGATTCCATCCTTCTCTTTGAAAAAATGAGTATATTTTTGTCTGTACAGTTGAGTGTTAAGGAGAATCTAACTTAACTTACATTGCTCTTTTTTTGGCTGTAGGAGTTTTGATACTTTCAATTTTATTTTTTCATTTTAATTTCCGTGCTTATTACAATCTTAACAAACTTAAGGTTTAAAATTTTATTTTCAATTTTTATGATTTCTCAGACTGACACACTCTGTCAAGACCACAGCAGACATCTGTGAAGTGAGCATTGGGGGATGTGTCTATTTTGTCAGGAAAGATTCCAACAGTAAATCGGCGAATTTGCTCTGGTTGCAAATGATACATTTTTCACATAATGTTCCAAGGCTTACAACTTCTGACAGCTAAAGAGCTGAATGTGCACAGTTTGATTTGAATGTGATGAAAAGTGAGTGTTCACCTCACAATTTGGACTGAAGGACTTTAAGAAAGGTTGGAAAAGTCGCTACATGTACTAAGTCAAGGGTTTATTTTTCTCTTGTGTTGTGTGAAGTGATGTTAAAATAAGTTCCCCTCATTCTGAAACTAGAAACATATTAAATTTTATGGTTCTGATGAAGTTCATTCAGGAGCAAAGTTGTTCTTTATTAAAGGTTTCATCGATTCTTTACAAGAATTTTTCTCCTTTCTGGAATTATCATTTCACTGATTTGCAGCAATTCTCCAATTCACTATTTACAGAATTCCAATCCCATTCACAGCCTGACCTGAACATTATTTCTAAGCTTTGTGCACTGACCTTATTTGCGTAGACATGCATATTTCCCCATGTCCTTATGCATGTGTATATTTTATTTTTTTTAACATTTGGTTCTATTTCATTTGCCTGTTAAATATCCCTGGCTTTTTTTCAAATTCATGCGCCATTCTTTACAGATTGCATTGTGGAAGGACTGACACGGTAGAAAAATAAATGCAATAAATTTTCTTGTGTGCAACAAAGGTTTCCTTTGTGTCAATTTTTTTCATAATCATTACGCACGCTGAAAATGTTATTGCATTTACAAAGAATGACTGTTTTAGGCCTTCACAAGTCCCGTCACAAGTAACAGGGTGAACAATGACAAAGGAATGCTTTTGTCACAGCTCATTTGAATAGCTTAAGAATTGGCTTAAGACTTGTGATGGGCTCGAATACAACGCCACAATAAGGTCATGCTACTATAAAAGGACTAAAAATACATGCACAATCTAGGAAGGGTTTAATGAAATTATCTTGCAACTTTAGACAATCAATATACTTTTCTTCTCAACTCATGCAAATAATTCTTAAACATGGCAACTCTGGCCAAAGGCATTTGACCATTCAGCTAGTTTCCTGTCTCGTCTGCGAGGTTAGCCAAGATAAGATTGTCTCTGTTCATCCTGAATGTCGTTTTTCATTCAGACAGTACATCTAATTTATTTCAAGAGAAGTCAAATTTAACCCTTAATTTGATTAATTATCAATTTTTAATCAAAGTATCAAATCGGTATTTTCTTTTCATTCAAAATGTATTTCTCAGTGTTTTGCAGAAAATGAAAACTTTGACCCACATTTGATTATTTTGCAATGATTACTCTTTGCATATTTTTCAAAAATGTGAACTATGTTTTGTCTGGGAAATTTCAATCAGAATGACTCCTAGACATCCAAAATATGTTTCTTTTCATTCAAAAAGGATTTTCGACTGATTTGCAGAAAATTCAAATTTTGACCAAAATTTGATTTTTTGCAAGGCTTACCCCTTGTCTATTTTTCAAAAATATGAAATCTTTATTTTTCTGTAAAACTTCCATGAAATGATTCCAAGACATCCAAAATATA